TGGCGTGCCACAGGTTCGCCATCACTACCCTAAGTGAAGGGAAAGGCAACCTTCAGCACTCCAGATGCTTTGGACTACATCTCCCACAATACTCTTACAGCCATAATGCTGGCAAAGCATCATAAGAGGTGTACTCCAATACATCTGCAGTGCTGAATGTGGCGGGACCGCTGCCTGTTCGTGCATTGCCTTGTTATAAGTTGTGTGTTTCCCTGCTGTTTCGTATAAATGTGCTTGCTCCCCGTTTGGAAGGTTTTCCTCAAAGGGAATTAATTCACCTCTCGAACTGGGACCACCCTGATACCTCATTTAGAATGTTTAGAACTTTTGCACCTCGTAACAAGGTGTCAAAACCACACACGGCAAGGGAAGCCTCAGCGCGTCCCACCCCTGGGTAGCAGCCATTTTGTATATACGAACTCCATCCAGGGGGAGCATTCATGGATTGCTTTCTACCTTGTTCGGTTTCTGAACGAGTACCTCCCCCGTGCCCATTGGAATGTTTGCACCAATTAATTAGAACGTTCACAACTCGCAACATAAATATGAAACCGCAAGGGAAGTAATTAATGCGTGCTTCCCTGGGTGGCCGCCATTCATATAGATGAACGCCAACCAGGGGGAGCATTTGTATCCAGAAAGGAGATGCGTCCATTGTCTGGTTTCACACATTTTCACACAGGGACCCCGCGAATGGAGGCTGTGCAAGGCAGGTACCATTAGGGGGGTCCCTGGGGATTGGTGTGGACATCCTTTGGGGACAATGGTGGATTTGGCGGGCTATCTGTACCTGGGAAACAAAGAGGCAGGGGGTTTCCTACGCTGTGCTTCCCAGGTACAGAGGCTCATGGGAGAAATACACTTAGTGGCAGGCTTTCTAAGCCTGGGAGACAAAGGGACAACTAAACCCCCCTCCCCCTTCTCTCGCGCTTTGGCTCCCAGGCATGAAGGATCCTTGGAAAAAGACCCCCTGTTACTAGAAGTGAGAAACCCTGTGGCGGGAACAAGGGACAAAGGGACCACAGTTCCTGTCCTGCTCTGGGACCCCTGGGAGGGGGAGGATCCTGGGAGGGGACAATGTTCTTGTGTAGTGTCCACCCCTTGCATGGGGAAAAGTATTAAGCAGAGTGTGGCCAATAAAGTTGTTGTTGTACCCCCTGGAACTGTGTGTCATCCAGTTACGGGGGGAAGAATGGGTCTCCACGTATTTTAACTTGTTCCATTCCAGGTGAACGCAGTATCTCGGCTTAGGTAACCGAACAGGTCACCCCTGGCCCAATACACCAAAGGTTGCATATCTCTGTGCCTAGTCCTTCCATTTGGGCATTTGGTGGAGACTGTGTTTTGAATAAGGAGGGCTTTCCACTAACCCTAATTTCCTCCTAGGGTGAGTATCAATGGAGGCCTTTGTCCTCAAAACATTTTATGGAGATCATATTTGTAGCGTATGATATATATAGCATATGAGATGTTGAAAAGAGCACTCCAGAGGATTTGTTTAACAAGTTTTATGTGTGATTCAAAATGATCAACGTTTCGACCCAAGAGGTCTTTGTCAAGACTTCCTTACTTTTTTTATATATATATACATGTTATTATTTAGTGTATACATATACATTCTAGCTGTGTGGTGGCATATATTGCAAGACATTTTAAAAGGTTAACTCAGCAATGTAATGGTTCGAGTTCAAGTTAGGACAAAGCCATATATTGCCTGTCAATCTAAGGGTAAACAAGATACCTTTAGACTTTTTCTTTAGTCTTTACCAAAGCGTCAGCACTGGATGACTGATGTGAAGGCTTAATCAATTTGGAGCCGGTTTTACAGGGGTTAACCTAGACTGGAACTAGATTGCAGGGGTTAACCAAGACTGGAACAGAATTGCAAGGGTTAACCAGAGTTCAGACAGACAGGTTAATTCAGGAAATCCAGGAAGCAAAGAGTATTACCAGAGTCCAGACAGACAGGGGTTAATTCAGAGAATCCAGGCAGGTGAGGGTAATCAGATAATTTCAGGCAGGATCTGGCTCTGTACTCTAGGGAGACAACAAAACAACTGAGCACAGACCATAGGGTGGTCTGTGCTTGAATAGGGTAGAGGTAATAGCAGCTCTTGTACAAGCAGGGGTCTCAGGGTCTATATACCTGGAAGGCTCCTCTGCGTGAGTAGGTGTCTACACCCCCCTATGTGGATAGGACGCTATGTCTATTTGTTTATTTAACTGAAACCTACTGTTCACCACACTGCTCTCAGGAAAACCAGCATTAGTCCCCCAAGGTTCTGACAGCCTGAGGGGGTCCTGGGACAGTGTGGGGGACATGGCATGCATGCCACTTAATCTGCCCACCAGAGGGGAAGCACACCGATGGATGGGCAGAGTCTGCCTTACTTCCCCTGCATGCTGCAACCCAAGTGGTGCAGCCGGGGGAACCGGAGAAGGAGCGACATGTCTCCTCAGCTGAGGAGTGGAGGAGACAGCTGGCAAATGGGAGGTAGGTGAAGCGCATCCCTCACTCCCGGAACGCCAAGAAACGTGGCATCTGGGGAGTAAATGCTTGTAAGATTGCTTACTTGTTCTTTTTCTTTCTGTCATTTTCACTCAATACTCATATACTTTTTGTTTCATTCTTGTTATTGTCTTATTTGTCCTACAATAGGTATGTAGCACCCTCTGGGTCTTTGAACATTGAAGTATTTTAATGATAATTAACGCCTTAAGGACACAGCTTCAGTAGTAAATGCCAGTATGACGGTAAAGTTCGGTAATGTGTCCTTAAGGGATTGAATATTATCAGGTAGAATAATTAACTAAAACAGTTTCTAAAATAAACTTGCACCGGGCTCTCTGTCCCCTAAACACTATCATCTATAGATGACAGTCAGTCATCTATTGGTAACCTCGATCATACCTGAAAGGAGCCATAGTGGCCTATATTGAATGGCCTTAAAATCAGGTGGTATGCACGATGTACCATATGTGGTGGACATGCCCCTTAATTAAACCAATTGGTCAATGGTTGGAGACATAACTTCCGAGCTATTACACATTAACTCTTGTAACCTCACCAGAGTTGTGGCTCTTTTTTATGTAGCAAGTGGAAATGACTAAAATAGATTTGAAAAAACTTATTTTAAAGGGACACTATAGTCACTATAGTCACCAGAAAAATTACAGCTTATTGTATTTGTTCTGGTGAGTAGAATCATTCCCTTCATGTTTTTTGCAGTAAACACTGTCTTTTCACAGAAAATGCAATGTTTACATTACAGCCTATGGATACCTCCACTAGCCACTTCTCAGATGACTACTACAGGTATTTTATGGGACAGTGTTGCACAGTGTGCAGCACTGCGCATTCAGTGTCTTCACCCTCTGCATGGAGAAACTGAACTTTCCTCATAGAAATGTAGTGAGTCGTTATATCTCTCTGATGAGATGCTGATTGGCCAGGGCTGCGTTAGGCTTGTGCTGGCTCTGACACTGATCTGCCTCCTTGACAAGCTCAGCGAATCCAATGTGAAAACATTGTGATTGGCTCAGAACACAACTTCTGATAATGTCAGCCAAGCAGGCAGATCCAGCAGGTAAGATTTTTCTATATTGAGGGGAAGGGAGGCTAGATTGCGGTTTAAACACTGTAGGGTCAGTAATACATGTTTGTGTTCCTGACACTATATAGTTCCTTTAAGTTTTAATAGCAACTGATTCTTTGATAGTGAGCATAGGCGTGCGCACAGGGTGTGCCGGGTGTGCCTGGGCACACCCTAATCCCCGTGGCACGCCTATGGTTTGAGTCCTGCAGGAACAGCGTTCCTGCACCTTTTTATTTTAGCAGGAACGCTGTTCCTGCAGGCACTCAGCGCCCCACTCACCTCTTGCCCCTGTCATGGGGGGGCAAGAAGTGATGGATTTCCCCCCGCTCTCCAGCTCAGCCGTGGCGAGGGAGCTGTCTGCTCTCTGCTCCCTCTCGCTGCGCGCTGATGCCGGGAGCCGGAATATGATGTCATATTCCGGCTCCCAGCTACAGCAGACAGCCTGCGCGGCGAGAGGGAGCAGCGAGCAGACAGCTCCCTCGCCGCGGCTGAGATGGAGAGAGGCGCCCGCCCCACTGGACCCCAGGGAAAAGTCCACGCCAGCACTCCAGGTAGGAGTCTGGGTGGACATTGTTTTTTATTAAAATATAATAATTTGTTTGTGTGTGTGTCTGTGAGTGTGTGTCTGTGAGTGTGTGTGTGTGTGTGAGTGTGTGTGTGTGTGTGTGTGTGTCTGTGTGTGCATGTCTGTGAATGCGTGTCTGTAAGTGTGTGTCTGTGTGAATGTGTGTGTGTCTGTGAGTGTATGTGTGTGTGTACGCATATATATATATAAATATATATATACACACTGAGTGCCGGCTCTGCTCTAAGCCTCCATGGGCCGGCGGGGAGACCAAAGATCTACCTCACCGGCCAACAGCAGCATGGAGGGAGGCAGGAGAGGACCCAGGGAGCTCTAGACAGAAGCTCCGCCAGGTTCCTCTCGCGATATCTGAGCGTTGCTGCGGCAACGCTCAGATCTCGCGAGAGTTAACTCTAGCCCCGCAGGCTAGAGTTCACTCTCCACTGGACCACCAGGGATGGCACATGGCAGCAAGGATTTACTAATCTGCCAAATCCCTCCAAACATACAGCACACACACATACAGCACCTACACACATACAGCTCACACACACACAGTACACTAACCGCACCCTCACAAACACACACAGCACCTTTAAAAAAAAACACAACACCCTCACACACAGCACACTAACAGCACCCTCACAAACACACACACAAACAGCACCCTCACAAATACACGACACTCACACAAACAGCACCCTCACAGGACAAACATACACACACAAACACCCTCACACACAAACAGCACAGTCACAAACACACACACACACAAATACCCTCACATCACACTAACAGCACCCTCACACACACATCACACTAACAGCACACACAGCAGTGTATGTGTTTGTGTGTGTATGTATCTATATATATATATATATATATATATATAGATACATACACACACACACACACACACACACGGCGGGTGTTTGTGCTTTAGGGTGCACACCCTAATGCAATAGGCTGTGCACGCCTATGATAGTGAGCACATTTAAATCACTTCATTCCCCATTAATACACTCATAAATCAAATCACATTAAATCGGTCTTAAGAAGAGATGGACACATTATCATGGATTTCCAAGGGATTATCCCTTTACAAAACAGGGCACTAAATGGCAGGATATGTGTTTTGTTGAATACAATGCCCCCCCCCTCCACCCTTCCTTCCCAGTTACCCACTCATTTAAATAATCTAGTTACTGATGGATTAGGTTAAATAAAAAAACAGTCATTAGTCAGTGGCCGAGTTACACAATATAGTCTCTGGGGAGCAGAGCTTGATTTTCTGATTTAGTTCCTTACATTTAAAAAAAAAAAGCTCTATATTGTGTACAGTGTGTCAGACACCAGTTAGGAAATAAAACGTACGGAGTCAGGCATGCTTAAACAAATCTAGTTGAATAGCAGTTTCTTAGATAAATAGGTGAATGTATGGAAGGCAAATTGTATCAATTTGTTTTTTGTATGTTTTTGCATGCCAATTGCCAGTTCATGTGTAAAGTTTGTGTTATTGAAAACAATGATGTATACCCAATTGTGATGTGAGTGTTTAAGAAATGCAGCTGCTTAATATGTAACCTATTTCTGCCTCAAGGTGGCTACAAACAAAAATACAAATTGTCAAATTGAAAAAATAAAAAAAAATAGAAAAGGGGAGTAGTCCCCTGCTTTCTGTGGTGTTTGCTTGATTTTTGGTATTTTATTCCATTCATTACCACAGAATACTTTGATAAACCTGGGATTTTCAGTATTAACCCCAAACAAATTATGTACAGGTACAGTAGTTTCTGGGTATAGTTTTTATGTATTTTCAATGTAAGGTCTCCACAACTGGACAAAATATTCTACAAATTGCGGCCTCGTTTTAATATTATTGGATACGTTTTTCAAATTATTTAATATTTTTAAATGAACTTTGAAAATTACTTTGTCATGATATTAAAACATCAAAATATATATCATATATAAATATATATCAATATATTAAAAAAAACAAGATATTTTTCAAAATAATAAATCATTTAAAAATATTAAATCAAGGCTCTAGTAATTAAGTTGTCAATTAGTGTGCAGTGATCATTTGATCAAAATCCTGGAAATAACCAGGAATAACCATTTGAGGATTAATGTGTAGTGTTCTACTATAAGATGTTTCTATAAGACACTGCTATAAGTTGTATACTGCAATGTATCATCAATCGTAAAAAACAAACTAACAAAAAAACAAAACAGGTTCTCTGTACAATTTGGTATAAAAAAATGATTTATAGTTTAATGGAAAAAAAACTCACAGTATTTTGTAGTTTGAGGCTAGGAACTCTGGACAACATTGTCCTTACTTGAATGACTTTCTTTACTAAACAAAACTGTATGTATTCTCCTTGTACAACTATATCGATCAGGCTTTGCCAAATGAGTAGGTTTCCAGAGAGATGTAAAAATTAATTGCTGGTATAAAGTCGTCACACTCTTCAAAGAAAGAAATGGCCTTCAGTGTATTATTGTGTTAGCTTCATAATCTATAATTAGGTATCAACACCAACCTTTTAAACCCCAAATCCTCATCCCATACACCTATTGGCTTTTATTAGTTTTTGTTAAAAAATTTAATTTACTTAAGTATGCTATATCATAAAACGGTTTCAATTATCATGTTAGTTAAAGTGAAAATACGCCTAGCACACGTTTAGCATGCCTTTTTGAGCTGGGATTTTATTGTAATTACAGCATATCATTCTTAATACAGTTACATTGAGGGTCTATTGCCTAGACATAATATTAAATTGACTTGAGAACTAACAAATTTAAAGACGATATATCAGTTAGAAATACTAAATTCATCTGCATGTAAGATGTTCTGCAAATCCATTTATATTTCCATTATGTTTGCAAGTCATATACATTCAAATGACTTGGATAGTAGCCACATTAAAAAACTATTTTGAGATAAAAGTAGTGATTTAGTAGACTTGTACAGGGTAGAAAATCATGGTTCTTCCAAAAAACTTCAGCAGAATTATTATTTATTTATTTTGGGGGGGGGGTTCGCAGAATTTAATTCATGCTGATTTCAGTTTGGCTTAATGTAGGTACTGAAAAACTTTCTGCAAAGCAATATGGACATCCAAAACGGCAGGAAAATGGTGCCTTTGACTGTGTTGATGTGCAAAATGGCTTCAATATTGCCTTCCCTAATGGCTACACAATATCAACCATTTTTGTAATGCAAATTCAGAGATTTTCTGTATTAAAAGAAGTAGAATGTGAGAGAACTTGGTTTTTGATTTAATATTGTTTATAAGCCATTCAAAATATTTTTTCAAAATATATAAAAACAAATTAATATATAAAGAATATTAAAATGTGTTTTATAATATTAAATCATTCAAAAATATTACATTATTCAAAAAGCATGTTCAACATTAATAAATAGAGGCCTTAGTTTTAAAATGATTGATTGTAATAGTTTCCTTTTCTTGTGTTGACAAAAAAATGGGAGTCATTGCAAGAGCTAGAGCACTATAATTAGATATTTTTTTTTATCCACTGCCAAATTTTAGAATACTTTTGAAAATCTAGAAACAATTTTGAAGGGAGGGGTGAGTGGTCATTTGAGTTTTAGCTAGCAGATGCCTCAAATATCAAAGTGAATAGCAGTTAACGCAGACTGGTGAGATTGAACTTCAGGAAGACTATTTGCTCCATCTGTTGTGGGAACATTTGTGAGCTTTGGGCATTCAGAATGTTTCATGTAAGAGAAAACACTCACTCAGTTTGGACAGTGGTCAGTGATAATAGTTGCTGTTCAAATGACATAGAGTAGGCCACACGCTGTTCTTCTCATTCCAGTAGCTGAAAGGGTCATCAGAAGGAGGCAAAGTAGGTTCAGACAGGTTAGCTCTGACCATTTCAAAGGCACTAGTTTATTTTTGATTGCTTGCTGATTCACTGTCTCTCCCAAACCACCAACAGCATTAACTTAGCTGCTCCACTTTTCTATCTTGGGGTTATGCTTCTGGTGCATAGACAATGGCAACATGGTAGGTTTATTATGCACATTTTCCTAAACCAGCATGCCTCTCTTTCACTGCCAATAATTGACCTATTAATACGTCTGCCTCTCCAGTATATCAGGCTCTTGGATCAGACCACTTTTTTTTTTTTTTAAATCAGTCTGGAGTACTGCCAGGAACTAATTCCATGTTTATGAGGTGGGTGAGCAAGGGAATGACCTGTCCTAAAATGGCATTACTGTCCCTAAATGGAATAAATACTGACAATAGCTGCTCCTCATGCTGCAGTAAATGTCAATGCCAATGCAGTAGAGTGTTGTTCCAAATTTCTTTCCAGGATGTCTAAAATGGATTTCCACCACATGCTGACATCCTGTTGTAGACAGTGTGTGTGGAGCCCTCTTTTCTCTTGCTCCAGCATTAAAAATTGGCTAGCAATCACACTACAGTGGAAATGCCGGCAATCCTCCTGTAATGCTCAAATCTGATTTGCACCACTGTGTTGGTTTCTTGCATTATAGAGCACACCTACAAAGGAACCATCTTAACAAGCTTTGACTATGTTAGAAACTCCACAGGTGACCACAAAGCAAAAGTGCAGATTGGTGCCTGCCTGCCTGCTGCCAGCAATATATTTGCTGACGTGTGCTTTTTACCCGTCACTTTAGCATGTAAACGGAGCGATTGATAGCCATGACATTCACTCCAAGCCTGACATGCTTCTAAGGTTGAGCCTCCTTCACTCCACCACAATGCCCAGGTAGAGTGGGCTGCCACCAGTTTGCCATGAAGGAAAGGAAAGCATGCTGGGCACTATGAGCACCCCATAAATCTGTGGAGAAGTCCATCCACTAATCTACAGCCTTAACCAGCTGCTCCTTCAATAGTAGTATGCAGCTATGGTACAGTAATGGGCTATCTTCCTGACGATTGTGAATCGTGACCAAAGTACATATTGTGAAAAAAGGGCCTGAATATCAGCTGCTTAAAGGGACTTTCTTATATCATTTAAAAGGAAGCTCCCAATACAGTGGTCAGTTGTTAGTCTGCTGTTGTTTTAACATGCCCTGGCATGAGATCAAACAAAATATTCATGAGTAGATTGGTGGACTCTGGGATAATGTGGACTTGGAATCTGTCTGTCCCTTTCACCTAGTGGCATTATGTTCAGTATATCCCCTTTTCTGCCTAAAGGGTGGTAGGTGGTTGCACAGAATCAGATACAGCACCAGCAGACCTGCTGCCTTCCATGGAACCTTCTGTTTTTGCTTGTTCGCTCAATAATACAGACTTGTGGTGTCTTTGCAGATGTTGGACAGACTTGAACAAATGTAGGTGTGGTAGGGAAAAGAGCGATGCCAAAATCACTAGATACCTCACCACCATCACCAAGACCTCACTACTTCTTCAGTAAAGAATGGCATTGATGATCCTGATAAGGTCTCTGATGAGCTCTCATTAAGTAGCTTCTTGAGGGGGCTACAGGAAATAGGGGGTAGACCAGGTAGTAGCATGAAATCCACTAATTTCACCTATCCCTTGTTCTGAGTGCCATAAACCACAGAAGCGGTAATGTATTAACCAGCTGTGATATGAGCTGTAGTGCCAGTGGAAGTAGCAGCTGAAGTTATTGCAACATAAAAAGACTGCGCCAAACATCCAAAAGCCTTCTATAGCATTCTGAGTGGTGAGTCAATCGTAATGGACATGCTGCTAATCCCACTATCCTGAGACTACTAATGTTGTGGCAGAAGCAGCAGTGGAGGAGGTATCAGCAGTCCTTATGGCTGTGCAAGTGGTGTTTAGACTCTCTAATGGCCATGGCACTACTCCTGATGGTGAATTGAGGAACATTTCCTCTTACCCTTACCCTTAATTTCATTTTAGGATTAGGACGTAACATT